CAGTAATAGTTGTAGATCTGAGCACCTACAATAATTGTAGTCGACGGTACCACCGCAGGTAACCGCGGAATTTACCACCCCCGCCAAAGACATTACCGCCGACCAACAAACGCAAAACGGCAAACCCCCAAGACAATTACACCGCCTCATGGCAATATCACCGAAAACTACCGCGATAATGAGTTCGTAAAACAAATCGCTACCACCGCCGATTGGACACCGCCGTTATGGCTTGCGCCTGTGTCCGTCTGAAAACGAACCCGTTACCAGGTTTACTTGTAATCTCACGCATTGCCAACACGGGCGAAGCAACAACACAACGCGATCCCCACAATGTTAGTATTTAGTGGTAGACAGAGCAGCTCACTTACCCTTTTGTGCGTCGCGAACATGTACGTACGTACCCTGTCCACCTTTGGCTAACCTAGTTGTGTTGTGTTGCGCAATTCATAAAAGCATGCATATTGGTACGTAACATGTGAAGCAAACAAAATAATATAATAATAGTGAAGGAAAATATGTATCACAACCAAGGCGGTTGGATAAGGAGGAACGCTCCGTTACATCTACTAAGTTGCAAGCCACCAGGTTTTGTGGGCCACCGTCTGACTGTCGATTGATTGACGTCAGTCCATTCTTTCGTCGCCGTCGGTTACGAAACTATCGGCCAAAAAAACGTTCTGGCTTCGTTTCATGTTGCACGCAGAACCAAAAACACCTATCTATCTACCAACTTGTAGGGTCGCGGAGGCGGGGCCGCGAAAAAAAACTCCCGTTCCACCTCAAAAAAGGAGAAAACGTGTCTAAAATGAGAAGATGACCACGACACGACCACAACACCACACACGAAGGCAACGGACGTGACACATAAGAATTCAATCTGCCGCCGAAACATCAACAGGTCGAAGTCATTCGCTTGGTCGATCCCAGGACTTTGTTCTTGAAATGCCTGGGAATTTCCCCGTTTGGTGCACGCATCCCTTGTTGCTCAAAGATCGCGCAGCGTTGACAGATCGGTTTTTTCATTGACTATGCCCGTCTTCATGCAACGCGTTGCGCAGTACACGAGACGAACAATTTTTGGCATGCCGATCCGTACCCCATAGGAAGAGATATTAAGACGAAGACATGGGAAAACGACATGGCAACACGATCTGGTCGTCTGAAGGCTGACGATACAGCTTGGTTGAGATCGCTCTGTTTGCAGCAAGCAGGCCGTGTACCACGACAAATCAAATCAATCTAGATGCTGTAGCTGCTGCCGGCGCCTCCAGGGATGCAAATGTAGCCGTCTTCGCCGCCGCCCGCATCTCCGTTGACGTACAAGTTGTTGCACTCATAGTCGCGGTCGGCCTGCAAAAGAAGTATGGGCGACCAGCAAAAAAAAGTAACTGCGTAACCTACAACATAATTCAATATCAAATGTCGCTGTGGTGAAGAGGTGTCACGAGCAGATCAAAGCAATGCCATGTCCTCGTGCCTGGCCCCCTTGTGTCTGACGTGGCCCCCGCCGCCCCGTCGTCCGATTGGTGAACTATCTTGGTTTAGATACAGTGGCATGCAGGGGCAGGCGGAGAATATGCTACTTTTCAGGGCAGTGCCACTATTCGATGTATCGGGTTCATGTACATGTTGAGATTGTGGCAAGAGATTTTGATGCCACTACAGAAGTATATCGGCAGTTCCACTATTATTCAGGTTGCCACTATTTATACCAAGGACAGCAGTGCAGATCAACCCCACGCCATCCGGTTGGTACAACTTCCTTGGTGCCCATAAGAACAACAAGATCGTTTCTTAAATTAAATGCTATGCATTAATCACAAATGTGTTCACGACTAAAGCACATACCACAAACACGCCGTTTACAGTCACGAAAAGTGGGGTGGGAAGTATCTCCATCCTCGCACTCATCCATCCATACACGTAGTGGACTCGAACAACCAATTTGGATGCAACCAAGCGACCAAGTCATGAGGGCATTCTTCGCAAGGGAAACCTTGCGGCACAACCAAAGTAGAGAGAACAACATATTCGCCTGATTGAGAGCGTAGCATCTGATTGAGAGCGAGATTGCGCGATACGCTGTAGCCGGACTACCACTGAGAGGTGGAGCTTGCTGTGTAGCTTGAATTGAAGGGCTAGCCCGTAGCTTCAAGCCGCTACCCTGGTCATCCTGTGGGAGTCTCTCGTTGTGGAGCTACAGCGGGGAGCAGAAGCTACAGCAGAGCCCACCGCCCGACGCGATACCGCCCTGAAACAGTTTGAGCAGAAATAGCCAATCTGGGCAAATCTAGCAACTTGTCTAGCTCCTCGCTGCAGCATCCGATGACGATGACACGCATATGCTCGCGAAGCTGCTGATGAGACCTTCAATTTGCACCGCTTCTTGGAATAGCCCGTCCCCTACTTGCCAAGAAATGGCAAGAGGCGTCTGGACCCGAAATTTCAATTTTTTTGGCTCTCGCTCTCAATCAGATACTTCGCTCTCAATCAGGCGAATATGTTGTTAGAGGGAAAACTGGGCGCGACGGGTGAGACGGTGCCAATACGAACCACATACGTAAGAGACAGATATGTGGCACAATGATATCGAACCACGAGAACGATTTGACGCGATAGACGATGCCAGAAACAAGGCCGGCCACATCTTTGTTGGTCGCATACCTGTTAAATTACAGTCCTATATAAATTGATGCGAGCGCCACAGAGCACACCCTTGATCGACCGCCTTGCGGGCCGAGGCCCGGTGTCATATTCGGTCGTCATCATCGAACATCGAACATACATTGCATTGCCGAATAGGGATTGTAGCGTAGGATTGCCCGCTGAGCTGTAGCTGCGTGTCACACCCACATATTTTTTTTGTCGTGAAAGCTTGAGCCTCAGTGTCGTAACGGCCATGTTCTTCGGCGGCCCGTTCAGCACTCCGATACGAACATGACCAACCTGGTCAAGAAGCAAAATACCAGCAAGTCTATCGGCCTGCATGTACTTGCTGGCGTTGCTCAACGGTTGCTGCTCACGTTGGTGCGAGAGTTTCCTTCGTAGGTCGCGTCTTCCGGCAAGTCGTCGATGTTCGGGTAATTCGTGGCGATGGCTCCGCCGTGGGCGCCGGCGGTGTTGTCCAAGAAGTCCACGTGCTTCACGAAGCTTCCCCCGCCGTCCGCTGTCGCAGATGGCCGGTCGCAAACAACACAAAGGAAAAAATTGCGAAAAAGAAGGGTGGAAGAAAAATTAGGAGTTAGGGGAAGTTGGGCGCAAAACGCGCCAGCCAGCACCGTCAGGCCACAGCACCGTCAGGAGCTGATACCGTCGATTCGGTGCACCTCAACGCAACAATGTAGTCAAGCGTGGGTGAATTTGTTCATCATTTTTCCGCGGTCGGTTGTTATCAAACCATTCTGACCTCTCGATTCGGGTGTTACCCCTGTTAAGGGCCTGGAGAAGATCGGGCAACGCTGACGGGCCCAACTCCATTCCACATTGTGTCGACCAACACTGA